AAAAAAAACCAACAAAAAGCTATATTATTATCTTGGGGTTTCCCCTTCACCCATCTGTTCAGGTTTTCTAAAATATGTGAGGCAGCGTGCTGGAATCAGGCTCTCGTCAATTTTCGGGCATATAGAGTTATTGGTATTATCTTAAAGCTTGTTCACCTGTCTTTATTTGAATGAAAAAAACCCACCCCATTTATCTTGAATACAAGAAGAGATATTTGCTAAAGAATGAGGTGGAGGTCACCTGTTTTCAGAAGTAAAATTAGTGAGAAAATGGCCGCCAACGATTAGTTATTTAATTAGCTTAATTAAGAGTCCGTGGTAACAGAAAATTTACATTTCTTGTGCCTTTAATCAACGTTTTTCAGAAAAATACACACATAAATGAGTTCTTTAATGGACATGAAAGGTGTTGAGCCAAAAAACAAAATTTTGATACAAATTCACAAACATGCGGAAAAATGCAAGTTTCTTCACTTTGATTATTTTGACGAGAGCCTGATTCCACCACGCTGCCTCACATATGTTGTTCTAGATCTACCCCTGCCTGGCTTGCCTTCTACATTTCCAAGGAAAGCAAGATGTTCAAAGCCTTTATAATATCGGTTCACGCATTACCATCCGCACAAAATAAATAAATAAATAAGTAAAACAATTTGGAAACGCCCAATGACACTCTACAGCCAGGCTACAATTCCAAGCGAATCAAGTTGGCAGCGGTCATATTTCGCCAGGAAAAGCAAATTGAGATTAGAGCTAAGAGCAATGTTGTTTTGTTCGCATTCGTAAACTTTCATTCACGGCACTTGCAACACAATTAGGTCATGATATAATATACGCTCCGAAGATCAAATATTACAATGTCACTAGAGAAAATGAAGGAGAAGAGACAAAGAAAGGCGATATATATTTGATAGGAAAGAAGGAACAATTAAAGTAAGCACACAAGAACACCCGCAAACCACCCACGACACGAGCAATGCTGGAAAGAAGTAAAACCAGTTAGCAGTAGCCTAGCAGCAAAGATCGTGTAGTACTAGTAGTAGAGATAGCGAATCTTTGGTAGCAGCCAACAACACGAAGTACTTTCCAGCGGCGCGGTCAGGATTTCCAATCATTGGCGGAGCATCACCATAGGGGGGTGTTACATTTCTCTCTGTTTGTTTGTCTTTCTCGTGAGTAAAAATATGAGAGGTGAGTGAAAACCCACATGCTACTGGTGGTATACAGTGCCAGACTGAGCGGGAGAAAGAAGGAAGGAAGGAAGGAAGGAAGGAAGGAAGGAAGG